AACTATGTCAACTATGTCAAATATGTTAAATATGTCAAATATGTCTGACATATCATATATGTCAGTTATGTTAAATCGGTCGATCTTCTGCACCATATGAGCTACATCACATTTATCCGTTCACAATATTATATAATTTTATAATTTAGATTTTACGAAATCAGCTATATAGTAAAGCATTATTATTATATTAAATTAAAATTTAAATATATTTTTAAATATTAATATTATATATATTTACAAAAATTAAATATAAAATTAAAAAATAAATTTTTATTATAAAATTTAATATTTATTAATATATAAATTTAAAATATAAAGAAATTATAAAATAATAATTAATTACTTACTGTAATTTATTAATTAAAATTAATAAATTTTATTTAATTATTTATAAAAAATAATATTGTTATAATAATATTTTTTAAAAAATAAATGTATTAATTAATATATTTTTATATTAATTAAAAATTAAAAATTTTAATTTTTAATAAAATTAATTTTTATATTATATTTACTAAAAGTTAATAATTTTAATTATAAATTTTAAATATTTAATTATTATAAATTATAAAATTAAAGTTAAAATTTTTTGTATATATTTAAATAATATAATTATAAAGTTTATTTATTATTTAATGTATTTAAATTATAAATTTAATTTTATAATTTATATATTGCATATACAATATCATTACTTGCTATATATCATAATGTGTTACGCTTTTTTGCCTTTTATTTTACTAATTATTCTAAGAATTTAGAATTTTTTTATATGTAAAATCTTATTTATCATTTTAATTAGTGTTATATAATTTAGAGATAGGTTAGAATTAGGATAAGAGATATATATAAAGATGATGTATAAGAAGCATCATCCCTCTGTAATGAATAAATTTATTTAATATATAATAATTAAAATATAAAAATGCTAAAAGTATAAATTTAAAAAAATTAAAATATTATTAATAAAGATTAATGATTAAAAAAGTTATAATATAAAAATTAATTATAAATATAAAAATATATATAATTAAGAATTGATTATCTAATTATTAAATAAAATTTTTAAAAAAAAATCATTGATTTTTTTTTTTGTATTGATTTTAATATTATTCTTAAAAATATTTTATTATTTATTAATAATTTTTTAAATTAATATTTTATTTTTCTTTATTTAATATATGAAAATTATTATAAAATTTTTATGAAAAACCAAATAAATGATGCTTAAATTGATTAAAATATATAAATATATAAAATCCTAATATATTACAAATAAATTAATTCTTACAAAATTATATTACTTATTTTAAAAAAAATTATCTTAAAGTATTTTAAATGAGTAATACTTTGATAAATGTCTTTTTTTTTTTAATTATTAAAATAAAAAGAAATTAACTTGATTATATATATTCTTTTTTTTTTTTTTGAAAAAAAAAAAATAAAAAGATTTATATACCATTTAAATCCATTCTGATATAAAAAAATTATTTAAATATAGGTAATCTATTTTGTTTATTTCTTTGTATTCTTACAAATAACCAATCTATAGCTTCTCTTACACCAGTCCTAAAGAGGAGACATCAATAAAAATGAGTAAGTCTGATACAATAATAAAATAAAGAGACAAATAGATAAATAATTGTATATATAATTATACCTACCCTTCTAAAGCAGATACAGGCAAAACTCTAGAATCTCTAGCGCCCAATTTCAAAGCGATTTTATTAAAGAGTTCCTTAATTTCCTCGACTTTTAATGAATTTGGTAAATCTTGTTTATTAGCCAACATTAATACAGGAACCCCTTCAACCTCACTATTAGTAATTAATTTTTCTAGTTTATTGGAACCAACCAAAAAAAAAAAAAAAGAAATGTTGAATTTATTACTATTATTATTTTTTTTAATAAAGATAAATTGAGGACAAAGATGAATTAACACTTACCGAACACTTCTTTACATTCTTCAATGCGTTCTTTATCAGTTGAATCTACTACAAAAATAACAGCATGACACTCGGAATAATATTTCTCCCAAATACCATGTAATTCCCTTTCACCTCCCAAATCCCAAAAATTTAACCTTGTACGATTTATATCTATCTTTCCGACTAATTTAATTCAAAGCGAAAAGGAAGTCAATAATAATTCGAATTGAAATAAAAGAAGTCAAAATTTTTAAGGGACTTACTATTTAACCCTACAGTAGGAGCAATTCTGTCAGGTGATAACCCAACAATACCTAGAAATATGGATTTGATTCGTTCTAATAAAGTCTACAAGTCAAAAAAAAAAAATTATTGAGTAATATGAAATATCGAATCAGACAAAATTATTAAGAAATGACGTTTCATTACTTACTGTTTTACCGGCATTATCGAGTCCTAATATGATAACATAAAATTCTTCTCTTCTTGTAAGAAATTCATGTAACCCGCTTAATAAAGTATACATCAAGTAAAAACAAAAGGTTATATCTTGTAAAATAAAAAAATAAATAAAAACAAATAAAATATAAAAAAAATGCAACGTAAAAAATTGTATTTATATATCATATACACATTTACAAATCCTGTTACACCACATTAACCTTGTATGGTTCAAAAAAATTAGGCTGAAATTACAATTTTAATTTTTCATATAATCAATATACTATTCCGTTAAATATGGCATACGGGTTTGAATATCAACGAATTTGCAATCTTACATAAACTTCTAAATTTCTATTTATCGTGCGAATTACAAGATGATATCTGACGCAGTAGTATTCCCAAAAAGAACAATTGTCAAAAAGTGGAAAAAAATAGACTTTACAAGTATTTATTTAAACGCAAATGTAAGACAAATATGGGATAGATTAGCTTGAAATACGTGTCGGTTTCCCGAACAGTATTCACAAGAATATTATTATTTTTTTTTTTTTTTTATTTAATCAAAATATGTCTAAAAAATTATACAAAAAAAAAAACCCATTCACTTAATAGGCAAATGGAATAGAATAAATAAATACACGAAATTAGGTTGAAATTAAGATATATATATATATTTTTGAATTATACAGGTGGTTCATTTTCCAACAGGACAAAACCAATCCAAACTCGTGAATTTTTTTCTTCGGTATGTCCTAATATTGTTATTTATTTCTTGAAGTAATCCATAACGATAAACTATCCGTGGTTAATACGGTAATGTGTTTTCCTGTTTGGTTTGATTTTCCGATTTTGAATTTCCACATGTACATGTAGGAAGATTATCTTTTTCATCATTTTCAATAAAAGCTGCAACATCGCCAGTAGCCTTCCTGTACTTTGCCATCGTCAATAACTTCCAAAAAGCAGCAGCTAATAAACTACCTAAAGTGGGACCAACATAATAAATCCAATGATTCGGACCAAATTTACCAGCGACAACGGAAGGACCGAAAGTTCTAGCAGGATTTAAGGAAGCACCAGTATATGGACCAGCACATATGGCTGAAATGAATAAAGACATTCCAATAACAAACGCTGCCATGATATTGCCTTTTCTAGGCTCTGGCTTTTCAACTGCCATCATAAAAACAGCCATTGTCAATACTGATGTCGTAAACATTTCCAAAAATAATCCTTGGGCCGTTGAAATTCCTAGACCGAGATCGGTTACTGCATTTATGGCAGCCCCGTTAACGAAAGCCTTTGGTTGAACCAAACTAATAAAATAGGCTCCCACTAGACCTCCTAAAAATTGAGCTACTATATACATGATGCCTCGTATGAGTGATATATTTTGTGAAGCTATTAAACCTATCGTAACGGCTGGATTTAGCGCTAGAGGAATGTGATAAACAATGAATTAGCTCATGACAATTGGCAATTAAATGATATAGTTATATTATTTTGGGACAGGTTTGTGCGAGAAAATGGAATTTACCTGCTCCAGAGACACTCCCCCAAATATATATATTAACGCAAAGTGAAAAACCAAAAGCGAATGGGATAGCAAGAACATTCCTAAAACAAAAAATAAATCACAATACATTAATAATTAGAACGATAACCTTTTTGAAGGAAGAAATTCTATAATAAGAACTAACAATGTTCCATCTCCTTGCGATGTAACGGTCTGGATGCTTACTGCGCCCCCAACACCTAATTGAGTAAAAAGGTTTATTAGAAAGAGGTCCCAAGAGAAGGAGAAACGCGTGATGCATCAAATACGAACCCATAAAAATAAAGTAAGCAGTTCCAAGAAATTCGGCAACAGAAGCCGTGATATCATGTTTTGAATGTTTGAAAAAACTCATTTTTTTTATTTTTAAGAGACAAGAAATAAGAAAATGAAATAATTATAATAAAAAAAAAGAAATTGTACTTTTTTTTTAAAAAAAAGAAATTTTTTTTTGTTTGATGGAAGGTTGGAACTTGGATCTATTTATAACAAAAGTTAATACTATTTAAAAAAAGCAAAGTATTAAACCTGTATAATTAAATTTATCTATCAAGGATAGATAAATTAATTTATACTTGAATCGTTATTTTTAAAATTTTTTTTTTTTATTATCAGTATTGTAAAAATTAAATGACAATCCTTATTACTTTTGTTACATTATTTTTTAAATTGTTCATAATTTTCAAAACACGTTATAATAAACTCCGATTAGGTAATTAATTTTTTTTTTATATGGTTCGCAATACACGAAATAACGAAAACTCTATCAAACCTAAACTAATACTAAACAAAATTTTGGATAGAATTTATAAGAAAATTTTATCATTATTTTAATGTTATTGGGTAACAAAAATACCGCCTCATTTCTTTTTTTCGTTCCAAAACTCGGAGTAATAATTAATTTTGAACTTTGTTCTTTTTCCTTGGCGTGCAGGAGGAAAGTCCCTGTTTCAATTTTTTTTTTTTTTTTTTTTTTTTTGCGATGGAGGATTTTAAGTTTTGGATCGGAAACTAAGCAAGTATGTCTGCGTTAAAAATGCATGGTCAACATTGAATCATATGTTTACATTAATGCATAAACGATGTGATCTAATTTTAAAAAATAAAACGAGTTTATTTCTCGTTTTTTATTTTTCTCTTTCAAGTGCCATGATTACATAAGCTTCGCGAGATAAAGCCTTTTTTTTATTATTTCAAATCAAGATGGTTATATCGCGAATTATCCAATAATGATATCGTTGATTAAATGTTTTCGGTTTAGCCGGTTGTCAGATTTCTTTGTCCTCATTACAAAATTCTAACGCAGAAACGTAAAACCATATCATTGGCAATCAAAATAAAGCATTTCTTCGTTAATTTAACTTGTATGATGATAATGTGTTTTTTTTTTAATTTATGACATTTTTCTTATCGCAATCGCTTCATTAAATTTTTTTTCCGAGCATGATTTACTGCGCCTCTTCTATGCTTTTTGTTTATAAATTAAAAAAAAAAATTTTGCAAATCTCTTTTTCATCCCTTTTACTGTTCTACACATGCACATCAATATGGAATGCAACCAATCACATCTTAATGTTATGATAAATCATGCAAAAATTAAAATTGGTTACAGTTACATTCAAGTTTAACTGACCGCAAAACTTCAATTACATCACTACGACACAAAAGAAATTACACATTTAAAATTTGTTCTGCCATTGATTTTGTAAAATAAGGAGCGAAAAGAAATTTGGTACCAATTCATTGGGAAAAAAAGGTTTATTTTACTAGATATAAGATTATTTATATAATAGATTATATAACAAATGGTAAAAGTATAAATTTCATGCATATTGTGTGACAACATTCAAAGCCATAAGGACTGAATTTAATAATGGAATATGTTGCATGAAGCTCAAAGATTCACAAGATTCACAAGATTCACAGGATCTCCACAGCTAAAAGTGGCGTAATTCATGTGATATATGGGTTTTTTTTGGAACGCTAAACTAAAAATTTCATTGTAAAAATCCAAAGTGGAAATAAGAATCCAAAAACTATTAATAGAAAACAATTATCCATCAACATTCATCAATTGATTAGATCCGAATTCTGTCATTTAACGATGCATATGGGGCGGACAGGGGTTTCTTCTAAAGAAACATATTTCGTTCCTTCTGTCGTTCAGCCGAAGAATCAATCAATACAATAGTGTTGGAACCTTTTGTTTTTTAAAAAAGGAATTAAAATGAGTCCAAAACAAGAATTTATTCATAAATCCCGTTTTTGATATGTTCTGCCCTTTATGGAAATTCCACGAGCTTTGCTGATTGGATTGTGTGACTTTTTCGGACCTCAAAAAACCTAAAAAAAGTTAAATTTAAAAATTTTTTGTTTGTTTTCAATATAGCGATGGTTGAACAGATTTATTCATTTATTTTTTTTATATCAAAAAATCTCCTGTATTGATCCTGTTGTTAGAAGACATTCATTATAAAATTTTAAATTTCCATTTCGTGATTTTTTTCGAATCTCGGAAATTATTTCAAATGTCGAATTACTTGTAGATTCGGGTATATTCTAAATTTGGATTCGATTATGTAATACATTCGAATGTCCTACTTTCAATTACGGAACGAACAATTACAAAAAAAAAAAATTAAACCTAATATGGAACAAAATCCAAGCGGATATTTGATTTTTTTCAAAAAGAATTCGAATATTTATTTGTGTTGAGGGTACTCAGGGTTGACTCAGAATTATAATAATTACCTTATTAACCATGATGAATGAAGTTGATAAAAATGGACAAAACAAATGAACAATTCTTTTAAGGTTCTAAGAATGAGTTGATGAAAATGGACAAACAACTGGACAATCCTTTAACTGTTCTAAAAGCTGTATTAATCTCTGACAGTACTTCATAATGAACAAAAGAATTCTAAACTCTTTGTGTGTTTATTATATAATATTGTATTATAATCGACTAAATAGGAAAATTTTAATGATGATGCCTTTGAGATGCCATTTGAAAAAAAAAAACCATCTGAATTGCTTCTGATGCAGATGTCGTATTACAAGAATGATAGGAAAAAATTTTATTCATTGAATGAATCAAATTAATGATTATTAAAATGATTGAATTTGTGTATCACGTCATTATCGCGCGTTTTTTTACCTTTATTTTTTTGATGCATTAATAAAAAAATTAATAAACATTACTTCTGCAACGGAAATTTAATTATTCACCGAACATCCTAAATGTTTAAAACTGTTTTAGAACGAATTTCTACCTAATTATGGCGTTAGGCATGCCTTGATCTAACTAATTTCATTATGAAAACTTTAAATTAAATTTTATTAATATTAAAACGAGGGTAATATATTTTGGTATGAATCTGAGATAAAGATAATTTTACATTATAATTACTATGCTAATAAATAATACATTAATCTAGATGCTATTTATTTTAATTTTTTGAAATATTTATAATAAGCAAATAAATCTTGCCCCCCTAAAAATAAATTTTAATCTTACATCACTTTATTAATCCCTCTTTTTTAACCCCCCTCACTGATAATGGAAAATTAGAATTAATTGTTACATATTTCGAAGTTATGCCACTTTCTCCTTAATTATTTTAGTCATTTCTGTTAATCCTTCCAACAATTTCTACACTTTCACGTAAATTTGAAGCAGAACTTGATCGTAATAATGAACCAGATGATGACAATGATGATGAAATTTCTCGTAAATTCGATGAAGAATTAGAAGTTTTTAATGACTTGATATTTAAATATTCTCTTGAATTATTTGATGTGGGCCTTAATAATTTATTATTTCCTATATCATCATTCGTTATAGGCTGATGTGAATATGTTGCGGGATTTCTATTAACAAAAGAAATCGTTTAAATTTGGTGTGTATCATTGGATCCTCTTTTTCCAATAATAAATAAATAAATAACTTACCTGAACCCATTCCAACTTTGCTTTCTTGGAGAGAAATCCTTCGTTACATTAACCCCTAATCTATTCGTATTAACACTATTTTGCGCAACATAAGTGGGAGGTAATCCAGGACTTGGTAATCCATTTATTATGCTATGACTTGATGAATTGCCTCCCGATACTACAACATTTTGTAATCCACGCCTTCGATCTTCTCTGTTTGTGATGATCCCTCCCGTTGATAAAGAGGTTGATGATGAAGCTGCAAAGGTTCCCAACGTTGGGCTTGGTAAATAATCTAAAGTAATTCCATATTTTTTATCTATGACTAGATCAAAAAATGAATTAACCTTATCCACAGCTATGGAATTTTGTGCGAATTGTGTAGGAGCTACGGCGCACTTTTAATTGAAATTTAACATAACGATTGGTAATTTTGTGAGATCAAAAGTTCCAATTTTTTTTTTTTAAAAAAAAAAAGGTGACACGTACTAAATTTACACAGTCACCACCAAATTCATCGATTATACTATATCGTCGTTGCCGTCCTGTTAGCTCATGTTTAACAAGGTCCGCTTTAGTTCCAACCACTAGAAGTGGTATATTCAAAGATCGTTCACTTAAGGACAGTTTAAATTCTTCTACATGACATGATCAATAAAATTTGTTGTAATTCAACGTAATCGAATGATTATTAAAAAAAATATATAATTCGAAAGTAAATACCGTTTTTCTTATAACCATTATAAGAGTTGGAAGATAATCCATTTGTACTTCCATTAATATTTGCGGTCAACGTTCCACTTCCACTTCCACTCATCCAACCACTGGATCCACCTCCACTCGAGGGACCCCAACAACCGCTGCCATTGCCATTCCAACTGGACCCCAAACTACTTGACCTTTCAACTTCCTTATAACCTTCAGATTCAATGATTTCGGAAATCCAATTCCATAAATTATAATATGATTTTCTATTACTAACATCATGTACTAATATGATGCCGTTTATCTGATGATAAAACATGTTACGTGAAGACTTATGCTTGGAAGACCCTCCAACGTCAATAAATTCTACGAAATATGATTTATGTGCACGAGTATGAACATGAATCTAATTATTTTTCAGATGCATATGATGATTAAATTCATAATAAATGAGTGGAAAACACGTAAGAATAGTGTACAAACCTTTACGTCAACCGCGCAACCAATTGTATATGAAGGATTCCTTAAAACTTCATTATGACAAAGTATATGAACTAGACTCGTTTTCCCCTAAAGTGTAAGAACAAAAAATTTAAAATCCGTAAAATTTTGGTTATAGATCGTCAAGTTCATTTTTTTTAAAAAATCAGGAGCAAAATGAAAATTCGAATTTCTACTCTTCAGAAGCGTATTATATAAAAGTTCTGTAAAGGTTAATAACAGTTATATGAACGTAAGTAGTTACCACACCAGGATCTCCCACTACAACGATTCGAATTTTGTCAGAGATTTCCATTAAAACAATTATCAATGCAATATATTTTCGGTAGCTCTAATTTTGCAGACTACTAAAAAAGTCCACAATACCGTTGGTTAGTTGTTGATCTGAGTAACAAACATTTAAAGTTTGGGAAAGATCAGCATATAACCTCTGTAGATCGGTCCGACCCCGTGTATTTAAATTTAGTAAAAATTTTTTTAATCTTTGATTTTTAATGGAATATCTAATAAGATATGTAATGTCTTTTAAAAAGGTCGTGATATTAAAAAGAATAAATCAAAATATCATTACATTACCGGTTCAATGGTCGGTCAAACGGTCAAACGGTCGGTCAGTTAAAGGACTTTGACCGACCGTTGACCCATATCTAGATTATCAAATTTAACTTCTCTGTCGAATTTCAATTTCTTTTATTTATTTCTTTTTTTTGTGGGAAATCCCATATAAACGATAATAATCAATCCAGATTGCATTTCATGTCACAAGCGAACATCGTCACCAGAAGCAATTATAGAAGATCCTACTAACCCTGTCAACCAATCAAGAGTTCGTTTCATGATTTCGGTTCTATTTGGAGCAAAGTGTTTAACTCACAAGGTTTCGTCCAAATTTTCGTCCAAATGTAACTATAAGTTATAAATATGAAACCAATTATGATGTAAATAATAGATTAAATCCAATAATTGAACCGTTTGCATCACTGCAAAATATTAAAATTAGATCGAAAAATTATTCATATCTTTTATGTAATGTGCTAATATGTTAAAGTGCTCTTCACCATCTCTATCGTAGGTTTTTTTTGAAAAACACATTTAATACCGTAATATTTTTTCTCTAGTATCTGCGTTTTCATATTAATGGTAATATCCAATTGCATCAAGTGCAACCCGTGCATCACCATCGCTCATCACCGCCAAATATCTTGACACTTCTTCATTCGCTTGATTATCATCATTTGCAGTGCACTTGATGCTTCAGTTTGAATGCTTTGATGCCTTTGTTTCGAAATTTCCTGTTTAGGATAGCTAGCACTTCGTCTGTCGTTAGTTTGCTCAAAACGACAACCTTACATCGATTGAGAAGTGCTGAATTAATACTTAAAGATGGATGGATTTTCTGTGGGGACATCTATAGGTGAACACCTCAGATTCGACGTATGGAACTAAAAATGTAATTAGTTTAAATTGCAATTGAACATCACATAATTAAATATATGCTTACGAAATAAAATCTTGATGCCTTATTAAATCGAAGTCTAAATAATTAACAAGATATATTGATTAACCACAGCTATGTCGATATTGTGATTTTAAAAAAAAAAGAAAAAAGAAATAACGTTTCATCTAAAAAAATCTCCGGCGTTACAATTTTTCATTTCTTCAAATGCTTTCCTAATTAACAATAAAATTTGGACGTTTTTCACACATTATCATCGAACTGAAACAATAAAATTTAGCTTTAAAAAAGATATTCTCGAGGAGATAAAAATTGAAATCGTAAATACTCTCATTATTTTGTCATGTAAGATTAAACTTTTCAAAAACCCCTTTTCAACAATTAATTCATTTTGTCCTATAAACTCTTCCAAATTAATTGATCGAACTTTATTGATAGGCAATGATTAATGATAATACTGTTTTTTAAGATATCAAGATACCCTTTGCCACAAATGGTACCACATCAACTCTTTTATTGATTGTTTTGACTTGTTTGCTAGGACGCGACATCACTTTTTTCTTGATTAATGGACAAAGGAGATTGAGGGTTAACATCTCTACTTCCTGATTTAGGGCAAAGAAATTCTAAGAAGAAATATTTTTTTGATAATAATTTAAATATTCGATATGCCAACAGTTCTTGGGTACACACAAGACATTTCACTTAAAAGTTATGAACGAACAAAACACTCGAAGCCATTATGATTAGATTGAACAAATTTGTGGCCGAGTTTTTTTTACTTGATATATATAATTATAATAAGCTTTCTCATTCTTTTTATTTTCTGTAAAATATATATATATATATATATAACTTTTTTCCTAAATCCTATACCATTTTCTCTGGTTTTCAAATAACAACTTGATGATGTCTAAAATTTTGTACCCTCCCCTCCCCTACCATAAATTTAAATGTCCCCGTTAAAAATATACAATTAAGTTTAAAGTTTCTTGATAGCATATTGTAGAGGTTTAAAACAAATAATTATGGAACAAAGGTTCACCTTTGCCGAATGTGCATCATATTATTTATATATGGGAGGTAAGCTATTAAAATCACGTTACGGATCATATGATTTACTATGTTGGTAACTTGATTTTAATAGCAAACCTCCCATATTCTAAATAAAATTACATTTCCTTTTCACCAAGTGTCCTTAACACAATTCCATCTCTAACATTGGAAGTGGCACTTCAAAAGATCCTGCTGCAAAGTGTGGTTACTTATATGGGACTGCTATGTCGATTCACAAATGATTTCGTGGGAACAAAAGTATTGCGATCAAATAGTGTTCGATCACATGACTCACACGGCATAATGATCATCGAGATATCAGAAAGGTTAAAAATTAGAGTAGTAGAGAAAACATGGAAATGACGAGAAACATGTTAGCAAAATTAGAAGATCAGTGGATTGGTCCATATTTACATCTATCATAAATTAAGATCATTAGAAGGACTAGTTAAATATAGTAATCAATTAAAGAAATATAAATGGAACTAATAATAATCATTATATAAATTAGAAGCCTATTTTAGTTAGTCCGTTATGATCATTAATTATAGTAAAGAATTTAGCTTTCATCGAGATAATATCGAAAAGATATTACAAGAATACTAGCAAATATATTCTGATTTACTAAAATTCAGTTCAATATAATGTTATATTATACTTTTTCTAACACATCTTCTCAAGATATATATATGATAATAAAAAACATTATTTTGATAAATATGATGACAAATAGTTACAATGAAAAAGAAAGGAATCTTTGGTTTATTATTATTATATGGGGCATGCTGTAACAAAACCAGAAAAAGTGAACATTGGTGTTGTTACCAAAGATTTCAGGAATCATAATTTAGTAATGTGACTATTAAAATCTCCAATTTGTTTGTTATATTTGTTTTTTTTCCTTAATATTAAGTGATATATAGAATTACTCCTATATAAAAAGAATTAATATAAAGCTAATTTATATTAGGTTACCGTGGAACCCAAGAATTATAGTACTATCAGAAGTATTTTGAAGAAAAAACAAGGTGAAAAAATTGCTTCTTGTGTTTTTAAAATAAATGATACTCAGATACTTAAAGCTTATCTAAGGAAAAAAAAGATTACCTATAAAATTTATCAAGAAGAAAGAAAAATAATAAATGATACATTATTACTTAATAAAAGGCAGAAATTCTTAGTAAAAAAAAAATAAAATGCAATAAATCACATTATTATATGCTAATCTATTTTTTTCTTTTTAATCCTTTTAATAATATAAATCATAATAATTATAAATTTAAGATTAAGTTACACCTTCTATTCTTAATCAAATATAGATTTATCCATTAAACTTTTCTCTATTTTGTTTTTATATTTATCAGTAACTTTGACAAATCTTCAATTTTTAAGTCAGAACAATAATTTTAACAGTAATATTATAGTTGTTTTTTTTTATTATCTTTGGATTATCATTAATAAGATATTATAAGTCAAATTATTTTCTTTTAACTTTTATCTAAAGGAAAATAATTATAATTAGAATAAATTTTTAATTTATATAGAAGATATTTCCTTAAATTACTTTTTTATTTTTAATCAAGATCATTTTTTAACTTTAATTTTAGGCTGAAATATAAATCATATTTCTAATATGAGCTATTATTTATATGACCAAATTGGATACTAGAATTATAATATAAAAGATAAGTTAAAAAAATAAAGTTTATTTTTGTTTTTGTTGTGATTTCTTAATTGAAAAAATGCTAAACTCTCTTGAAATTCAACAAAACTCCATTAAGAGACTCTGAGACTAAACATATATAGTATAAAAGAAATTTATAAATAATTATATATTCCTTTATATATATGTAAATGATATGTTAATTTATTACAAAATCTGCTAATATTATTATTAGTTATTCTTCTGACCACCCAAGAAAATTATTCACAAATCAACGTTACCATATCAGAAAAATTTTAAAATTCAACTATTTCAATATTGTAAATAAACTTAGGATTAAATTAGAAGAAAAAGATTCTGAATTTGAGGTTAGTAAACATACAGTACGTTGTAAACTTAAAAACCTTAGATATGTTTTTGTTATGCCAAAAAAAGTTCATTTTTTAACCTAAAAAGTGAAGGATATTAAATTATCTAGTTATGTAATTATTCACATTATAACTAAAAGAAAGTTATTTTTCTGATAAAATAATACTTCAGATATTTAGAAATATTATTCATGCATGATCTCATAATATATAATCAGTTGCTCTTATAGTAAAACATTCATTCAAGATTTATGTTTGAGTAGCGATTAGTATCAAAAAAAAAGTTAGAATTCATTTGTTTACCAAAAATTTAGACTATCATTTATACCAAAATATCCAAAATGATCATTTATACTATAATGTAATTACATTACTTAGTCACAACTAGGTTTTTTAATAAGAAAATAATTTAAAACATATTTTACGAAATATTTAAAGTAACTTAAAAAACATTTTTCAGAAAGAATTCTTTTGTGACCTTCATATAATCTAGATTTGAATCCTATTGAAAATGTATGAATTGTATTAAAAGAAAAAGTGAAGAAAAAGATTAAGAATATGGTGGTAAAAAAATTACCTGTGATGTTTTCCTTAATATAATCTAACAGAAATAGAATGATCTTAATAATAGTATATTATTTTAGTACTTTAATAATATACTGAATCAGATTCAAATATATATCAATGCAGAAAGAGAGCATACAAAATATTAATTAATTATTAAAAAATGTATTGTTAGTATTATTCTTTTAAATAAAAAAATAAACATTAAAAATAAAGTTTATATATACTGCCAAAAACTGTTTTTGTTATTCTTTTCACTAAAAACTATATGTTACTTTTAATTCCTTAATTACTTTTTTATAAGTTACTAGTTTATCAACCAGTTTCTGTAAAGTTAATTTTTTCAATCTTTCACTTTTACTTTTAATTCTTTTATTTTATCTAAAAGCATTTGTTTCTGTCTTTTATATTAATTTTCAGTAATTTTTAGAATTTCAAGGTGAGTTTCTACTTCTTCTTCTAACTTTTTTTTTTTTTCATATTTTATTTATTTGCCATTTATAAAAAAATATTAGGTTTTTTTTCATAAGGTAAACTATAAGTTCTTTTTTTTATAATTTTTTATTATGTTTAATGTAAGTATAAATATGTTTTCACTAAAAATATCAATTCATTCTAGTTTTAATTTACAATATTTATTACATCTTTAAGTTTATTCTTACAATTTTTAGACTTTACTATTTTAAATTATTCTTTCAATTGCTTTTCTATAAATTCTTATCTGACAAATTACTAATATTATAATAAAAATAATAAGTTCTTCTATTATTTCATTCTTTCAAATCTAAGATAAAATAATTTAAGTCCTTTACAACTATTTTGCTATCTTTATTTCTATTTAAGCAACTATTTTTTTTATGTAAAATTTAACTTTTTCAGCTAATTAGAAAATTTTACTTTTTACTTTATTTTTTAAGTATCTAAATTTGCTTAGTTTTTTAGATAAATTAGGTAAAGATTTATTAAATAAATTTAGTTATCTTCATAACTTTTCTTTTCTTTATCAGATTTATCTAATAACTCAAAGTTTTCTTTTAGTTATTTTTATAAATTTTCAATTTATAAATCTCTACTTTTGATTATCTTATCTACTTCATTTAATAAATTTACTATATTATTATATTCTTTAATTAATTCTATCTTTTGACCTTTGTTTTATGCTTTAAAAACTCTTAGAGCTTCATAATAAACTTTAGTATTCTTTTTTAACTTTTTAATGATTTTAAAATAACTTTATTTAATTTAGAATTTTTAGACTTATTAATTAATTCTTTTAATTCATCTTTATCTCAAAGGCTATC